TCAACACACACCATCTCTTCGTTGATTTCAAAGCTGCTTTTGACAGCATGAAAAGGTGCTGCTTTTATGCCGCTATGTCTGAATTTGGAATCCCCGCAAAACTAAAACGGCTGTGTAAACTGACGTTGAGCAATATCAGCTCAACGAGGGCAAAACGAAATATCTCCTGTCATCAAACAAATAGTTGTCGCACTCGCGACTTGGTTTCCACATCACTGTTGATACTAATAACATCGTAGTCGTAGATAATTTCGTCTATCTTGGAACCTCTATTAACACCAACAATATTAGCCTCGACATCCAACGTAGAAACATCAAACTTTCCTAGTTGAATCACTTAGAAAACATCTTCAAAACTGCAAGAGTATTAGCGATTACTTTACGCGAACTCAGTATTCAATATTACATGGATATAGGCAAAACTAGCCCATAAAATATGTACATATGATTTAGTAAATATCCGTATAATACTAAATGTGATTTAAATAGTTCAAGGTAATTGTTTATTCGTAAACTTGTTTATATTCAAACGTCATCGTCTCGAATGGGTTTGAAATTATAGCATAATGTAAATAATTGCTAATTGTGCATATGATTTGTGAAATAAACATAACGCTTGTAAACTTGCAGTTGAAATGAATAAATAATAGTAAATTGAGATATGTAAATAATTGCTATCCGGTATTGTTACATAATGACGCCTTATAGTTTTCTTCAAATGTTCTGTCTAATCGTCAAAGTACTTGTGTTCAGCGGTTCCATAACCATGTTTGTAAGATTTCTGATTTATTGAGAGAGGCTCATGGTGAGCGAGACAGTAGGCAGCTGAAAAGATCGCATCGGTCTTCGATATGAGAAAGATGCCGGCTAAGTGTAATATAAATGGACTACCCGAAGAAGGGAAAACTATAATAGGGCTCTACTGAGCAAAATAATAGAACCAAGTGAAAAGGAACTCTCTCAACAAATCGGTCGAAATAGGCTTCATTTTGCTGCTACCCTACTTGAATATCCACATTTAGTTCCTTCAGACTTTTTTCAAACTTAACAAACATAAATAACAGTCCGAAGTAGCACAAGTTGGCAAGAGAATTTCATGCAAAGGAGTAAAGTTCTCTGATTGCCATTCACTTGGGAGTGGCCAGCACGCAGCTCTCGACTTCCGATCTTAGACCAAGTATCATCTGGGTAGCAGAAGAACATCCGTTTGAAGGCGAGCTAAAATGAGGCTTGATTTGGAACCCACCACGTAAAAAAGCGTCCCCAAAGAAAAGGATTGGAATCTAGAAGTTGAATTTTAATCGAGTAAAAAATTGTCCATTATGCTTGGAAATCGTCGCTTAGGTTTTAAAAGTTAGATTGATTGATGTTGCCACAGCGAAGGCAGTTGAGATTATAGCAATCATGTTTTCATGCTCTTTTTGAAAATCCACAGTTTGTAAAATGACGCGATTCACTATGTTTACAGTGTGCAATATGATTCGGTCGTAGTTGACACCCTTTATTTCTATTCATTAATAATAAACTATTAATTTTCGCGCATTCGCACAAACGGCCGCTGCCGCTGTCGCCGCCAACATGTATCGCCGCCACACCTTTCCGCCCCCTATGACTATTGTAAACATTCGCAATAACAATGTAAACATAAACATTGTTGACATCGTCTTCGTTGCTTCGGAAAAGCGAATTGAATGGAAAGTTGTGAGCGCCAGCGAGAGAAAAGGGTGCTTTTATTCACTGGCATTGACATTTGAGTGTCGGAAAGGAAAATAAAGCAACAACACAGATATAAAAATCTGTAAAAATTCATGGCCTTAAATTTCTGCTTTTTGCCGGCAGTTGTCGTGCCTTCGGAGTGTTATTTATGTTTGTTTGCATGTGTGTGTGTGTGTGTGTGAATTTTGGTTTGGTTGTGCAATTATGGCGATGGCGATGCCAGTACAAGGCAAGGCAGGCGGCGTAGAAACTCGCAGATGCAATCCATGTAGTTTCATTTTGGTTTCAGCAGCGGCACTGTTCGGCAGACCGTTTGCGACGTTTCGTATACAAAGCATAATCGTGAATTGAGCCGCTCTTTTTGAACGCTGTGACGGTGTTATTTGATTAAGCTCATTAGTTCGTGGTGCTATTAGTGGATTAGAAGAAAGCCGATTGCTCGAACGAAAAGTAAGTTTTACCTAAAATATACTGCGTGTTGTTTCCCTTGAGTTGTTCGTGTCTTTCATTTATGTTTTGTGTTTTTATTGGCTTTCATTGGATTGATTTGCTCACATCTTGTGCCACAACAATACAACAACAACATAATAATTATGGTCATTTCGTCGCCATCAGTGCTTAAATCGATATTGACATTAGCTGATCAGTTTTTGTTTTTGTAAGTAAATCTTTTTATAATCTTTTTGTTTAGTGTTATTAATCTAACTGAATTTATAAGAACTTTCTTAAAATGACTTTGAAATTGTGTTCCACGCCTTCTATCATAAACTCCCGTCCAAGCTTTAGTGTAGCTGATACATACATAGATGGTACTACTAATACCATTTGAATGCTTTCTAGTCAACCCCTACCTTTAAAAGATACGTATACAAATGTGGCAACTGAGAAACTATTAGTTAATAAGTTATAGGAATTTGGGTGAAGCAACTTGTGTTAGTTTACAAAAAATGGATCAAAAAGCATTTTGTGTGTTAATAAAGCATTGCTTTTTGGAGGAAAAATACTGTTAAATTTGGGCTGTGTACCGAAAAGAGATTTGCTGAGTTCGAAAGAGGCGAAATAAGCACCGAGGAAAATGTGGACGTCCTTAAGAGGCGAAAGCTCTGTGCAATGTGAGTGCCTCACAAGTTCTGAGGGGTATTTGAGTGCTTTTTAATCGTAATAAAATCGAAATTTTTGCGTCGGTGTGTGACAATAGAAAAATGGCTCCATCATTTCACATTTTAGTCCAATCGACGGTCAGGGTTTGTCCGGAAAGTAGTGTTTCTGTGAGTGGTGCAAGCAGAAAATGCAGCGTTCGTTAGAGCAGAGGTACGCGATAAAATTCTGTGTGAAATTTAGTAAGTCTGCGGCTTATCCAGATATTGCTTTAGCAGGAAGTAGTGTGTTTCGGTGGTACCAGACCTTTTTGGAAGACCGGGAAGAGGTCGCTGATGAATACGCAAATCCAAAGTGAAAACGCATCAAAGGCATTGTCCATCGTCCAACGTCCAGCGGCTCAGCTGAACAGCTACCTAACTAAAGCCGGCATCCCAACGCTTCTGCAGCTGCCCTACAGCCCAGATGTGGCCCCCCGGACTTTTCTTCCTTGCCTAAAAAGGCCGATGAAAGGGGACCCAAGCAGCATGAACTTCGGCCCTCAAGTATATTACTGAATGAGAATGCCTTCCGTGATGCCTTAAATGCTTGAAAATCGCGCCGCATCGCCGTTTTTTAAATCGACTGAGTCCTATTACTTTTCGCACAAATCCTGTAGTGTAACTTTCTTTTATATGTATAATATAGTATATAGGGAACTCACAACTTGTTATAACGCATCGTAAAATCATAAAATAATAAATTTTTACACTTGTTTAAAAAAATTGTTGTTGAATTATGTACATAAAAAAATGAGCTTACGCAATTACAATTCTCAATGTTATGTTTACAGATTTGTTCTAACCTCTAACTTTATGATACTGTATGAAACTCCTAATATATTTTATTCGATCTTCGAAAATAAAAGTACAGAAGGAAGAAGATAAATTAGATGCAATGCAAAAAAGTTCTTTAATTTTAAAAGTTAAAACTTTTTAAAATTTATTGCATTAAACCAATAAACATACAAGTTTGAAAAAATTTCATTCTAATTAAAAATTTAGCAGACTACGAAAAAGGTACTTTTCCATAAAACAACTCCTTTAAAAGTTCAACGCTGTTACAGGTTTGTACTCAGTATTACTAAAAATGAATTATAAATTCTGTGCTGCTCATTCGACAGTGTGCATGGTGCTTGATGTATAACCTTCACGCATATACTCTAAAATTCTGGTTTTATGGAAAAGACCTCTTTGCAAAGTCCAACATTTTTTACTAGAATATCGTCTTTTTAAATATGTAGGTTTATTTGCTTTATGAGAAATATCAAAATATCCCATATATGTAAAATAATAGGTGCTCTGTTTGAGACATGTGGTTTCCAAGGGTTCCAAATAACTTCACGTTATGCCCAAGAATGCATTTATTATAAATGATATGGTTTGGTATGGGTAACGCTTTGTCATTTTGTTTTGAAAATGATTTCGGGCAAGTGAAAACGGCGGCTGGCGCGAATAAATTTCAGTAGATGAGCCAAATTTTCTACTACTTTTTGTCACAATGTGACTGTAACGTTACGAGCGGCTTCATTTAAAAAAAAAAAAAAAAAATATGTACCAATGTTTCCCTCTATCCATAGAGCACACCAAACAGTGTCTTATTGAGAATGTAACGTTGTCTCATCATTACAAATAACTAGGTGAGCTGAGTGAACTTTATTGCTGAACAAAGTTTTCTTGTGAAAATCGGGATTGGTGGGCCTTTTGCCACCTTCTTTGTGCGACGCGATTGATGGCCTTTTGGCTGCAATACTTGCACGAGCAGGATTTTTAAGTGCTAAAATCAAGATCCTCAAGCAAATCTAATCTGGATGAGAATCCGTTCGTCCTTTTCAAGCGATACCGCTGCGCTCTATGGGCTCTAAATACTTCCAAGAAGATCCGACGTTTTCGACCCAAATTTTCTTCAGCGATGAGGCCTATTTCTGGCTTAATGAGTATGTAAATGTAAAATTGCCGCATTTGGGACGAAAAGCAACCTGAACAAATTCAAGAGCTGTTATTTGATCGAAAAAAACAACGGGTTTTTGGGCCGGTGGAATCACCTTTTTTATAGTTTTAGGTGATACATTCAACTATTCTACTATGTAGTAACATGTTGCAAAAGCTTGAAAAAGATCATCTTGGGAAATAACGGACACCACAATGTACAAATATTTTGAAAAATTTTTAGATTATAAATTTTTAAACTTATTTAACACCACAATTAATATATTTAAGGTCTTTTCTAGTTCCACTTATTAAACTATAAATGCACTGGGTTAATATCACAAGACCAGGAGTTTGTAGGCACATTTATTCTATAACTTTCTTGTCTCTAAGTTCGGCAATTCGTTCAGCACTGTAACCTAAGAGCTCTGATAACACCTCATCTGTATGTTGCCCCATCAGGGGGGGAGCTGTGCGTGCATCATTTTTCGATTCACTGAAGACGACAGGTGGCCCGACCACTTTCACACTGCCATCGCTGGGATGTGGCAAAGTTTTTACCAAACCAATTGCCTGAATATGTTCGTCCTCGAACACTTCGCGTATATTATTCACGGGACCCACCGGAAACGAGGCACCTTCGAATTGTTGCATCCAACTTCTCGACGTCTTCTTTGCCAAGATATTCTCAAGCAACGCTATCAATTCTGTACGATTGGAAACACGATCCTTATTTGTTTTAAATTTTGCATTCGTCGAAATGTCGCTAATTTCGAGTAACTGACATAATTCGCGGAACTGATCATCACTGCCAGTACCAATGGTTAGATAGCCATCGGCGGTTTTGAAGCTCTGATATGGTACGATACTCGAGTGTGCAGTGCCCCAGCGATGTGCCTCTAGGCCGGCATTCAAATAATTGCTAGCCACATTGATTAGGAGCGACACACTGGTGGACAGCAGATTGACGTCGATTTTCTGACCATGCCCCGTACGTTCGCGCTGTAGTAAAGCGGCCAAAATGGCGCCATGCGCATACAGACCGGTTGCTGCATCGGTAACTGCCACACCCACCTTGCATGGCGGACCATCGGGTTCACCGGTTATATGCACTAGACCGCCAATCGATGAGGCAATCACATCGTAACCCGGACGTTTAGCGTACGGACCCACCGAACCATAACCGGTCATTGAACAATAGATGAGCTGCGGTGCGACTTTGCGCATTTGCTCATAATCCAAACCGTACTCAGCCAATTTGCCCGGCACATAGTTCTCCACGAGCACATCACATTTACGCGCAAGCTCATAAATTATATCCTTGCCACGCTTCAAATCGATTGCGGCACTCTTCTTATTACGATTAATCGCCAAGAAATAAGCGGAATCTTTACTGTGCTCCAAAAATGGCGGTCCCCATTTGCGCGACTCATCGCCACCATAAAATGGGCGTTCAATCTTGATGACTTCGGCGCCCATATCAGCCAATACCATGGTGCAGTATGGGCCCGATATGATGCGCGTCATATCGAGAATGCGTAGGCCCTTAAGCGGGTGTTCGGCAGTAACCGTTGGCGTGCTGCTCTCGCTACTCGTTGCAAAATTTCGACATCCTATGACTTGTTTGTTGACTTGCTGTCGCAGAACTGCACGCACAGCGTAAGGCAAGCGGATTGCGATCGGGAACATTTTCCAATTCAGTGTAACCGTATTATTATTGTTTATTTGCTATTTATTTTTGCAAAAATTTCTATTTTGACATCTATTTATTGCGATCAAGCGCAAATTTATGCAATTTTGTATATTCGTGTACTGAAATCGTGTATTTGTTTATAGTTTTTCGTCTGCCTTAGTTTTCCTTTCTTTTTTCTTTCTCACGTTTTCGGCTCGGCTAACGAGCAATGTATCGCGCAACCGCTTTTACTCAGGTTCTTCGCATAACTAAATACACACCGCTACTCGTCAGCCCACAAATGTCTGCGGGAGAGCCTATACGACTTTCTACTCATGTGCTGAACACAATGCTCGCGACAGACTGCAGCAGCACGACAGTGAACTGAAAATGACGTTGTGAATCCTACTACATGAACAAAACAACGCAGTTGTCCATTTTGCATGTACACAATTTCGTTGTGGCCATACTAATACCTTGCACTTCAATGAAATTTTAATATTATATTTTGTTCAAAGTGAATTTTTTTATGAAAAAAATAAATAATTCGTTTCAAATTGTCAATTGTTCTTACAAATGATGTAACAGAGCTATTTTATGCTTTTACTTGTAAAATAACATCAGGTTTGTTAGAGCTTTGAATAATTTTACATTTTACATATTAGTGGCATCACCACTCTTCCTCATCTCTCTACTGTCTACTCTACAGTAGTCCTACTGTCGTTGGCAAATATAAGAATATATTGAACGACAACTGTCGGCCTGCAGTCGTATAGTCGTGCAGCTGTCCAAATAGGTCTGTCCATAAGAACGTGTGTATTTTAATATTTGACAGATGTCGCTTGCAGTCTGTCGCGAGCATTGTTTTCAACACATCATGGTACGAATGTTGTGATAAAATGTTGTTATTTGCTCAGCGCTTATAAATACCTACTGCTCCGAATTTGTTTTGATTATGAATTGCGTTTTTTTTTGTCATATCTCTTTCCATGCACACTTCACTAAGCTTTATGCATAACCACTCGAGGTCTTAATGAAATGTGACAAGAAATTTCCCCTACAAAGTTCTAAGTAAGTAAAAAGGCTGCTGCAGTTTATATAAAAACGTATGGTGTTAGCTATCTAAACCAAAGGTGTGAAATTTTCTGATCCGCGTATATATTAAAAAGTTATGTACATAAGACCCTGGGCTCACCTGCTGAACGCAAGTAAACGTTCTATTGAAGATGATGTTGCCTTCTAAAACCAATGGACAGCATACGAGTGTCAAAAAGATATTCCTCACAACTCTTCAGCCGTTAAAATGTCTTTGAACTTGAAGGTGCCCCATATAAAATGGCACTAGAAGTTAGAAAAAAGTTCGGCTAAATCTTATGGATTTGTTAGATATACGAACTTCCTCAATAAAATTATGTAACGGGTGATCCAAGTGGTGGTACTTTTTTTGACAGGTCACGCGTGTGTCATGTTATGTTTGTTCAGTATTGTTTGACATTTCATCATGGAGAGACTTACGCCTGAACAACGTTCAACTTTATTACGAAAATTCACGTTCTGTAAAGAATGTCTTTCGCGCTCTTCGCTCAACTTATAGTCAATATAATCGTCCTACTGCGAGTTCGCAACACTATCACCCTTCTTTAGAGCCAGCATTCATTATACATGCTTCAACTTTCTAATTAGTAACTGTAGTAGATAATATGCTTTAAATAAGTTTGAGATTACTTGCTTATCATATCTGATAAGACAAATTGTCTTCTTCATTGGAAAACAGTCTTTATTATATCATTATTACGTTAGAGAATATGAAGTAATATTTAAAACGCTAATATAATAATGCTACTCAATGTCAAATTTTGTCAAGATATCTCAACAAATAAATAAAATTTCATAAAAGGACTCAACTGTGATCGATTAAACATCCGATCCGAACAACTTGCTCGGAGTCTGTGCTATTGCTTTTGACAAAAATCCATGTCGAATTTCGTGAAGATATTTCGTCAAATGAACAAGTTTTCCAAAAAAGACTTGATTTTGATCGTTTAGTTTGTAAGATATCTTTATGCTACTGCGTCTCGATATCTGCGGCTCAGACAAAAGAATAATTGGGTAAAAATCGCGTGTATAAAATTTTAGATCGATAACTCAAATACTGATGGGCTAGTTCGTATATATACAGATTTTTGTTTTTGGCAGGAAAATCAAGCAGGGAAATAAAAAATAGGTTAAGTACTGTATATGGTGCCCAGAGTTCGCGCGCTTTAAGCGCAATCTCAAATAATTTCGGTATCGTTTCGTGATTATAGACACGAATTCTGTGCCGAAGTCATGATTTCATGAATATTGCTTTTCAAATCAAAAAATTTCGATTTGCCTAGGTATCTTAAAAACTAAGAGACTAGTTCGTGACAGACACACTGAGACACGGCCATTGCTAGTCGATTAAACTCGTCAACCTGAAAATTTATATAAAAAGTTTTTTTTTCGTTTGGTACTCTGAAAAAAAGGTTACCAGACACCTCTAAGAAAACCCCTTTTTATAAAGCAGTAAGTTTCCCACAAAACTATGAGTTTCATCATGCGTAATGGTTTTTTTCATTGAGTTATAAAACTCATAAGAAATAAAAAATTTTCCCAAAAATAATCAAACTTTAACTGTTAATATCTTTTAAACGAAAGCATTCAATTTCCTGCAAAATCTAAGGAACAAGATATTTTTTGAAGTGGTTGGAAGCGAGATATAAATTCTTCTATCAGATAATAAGAAAAAATAGAAAACTGTAAGTAGGAGGACCTTTCCGTTACAATTAAGAACTCATTCTTGGAGAGGTTTCCTTAGAGATGTCTAGGAGCCTATTTTTCAGAGACCAAACGAAAAAAAAATTTTTTGAATCACTCTAATGTATATACTTTATAGAGTCTCCGAAGTTTCTTTCTAGACGTTCCAAACTTTGTGTTCATGAAAACACATCATTTTGCAAATCCGTTATCACCACGGTTAAATCGGTCGGTGTATTTACCACATTAGTCATCTTACGGCTTCTATATTTTCCAAAATATTAAACGTCACGAACTAAAGAAATTGAAGCACTGCTTGATCTTGCAATCAAACTACAAGAGAAGACTAAATGAAAATAAGCCGAGATTTTTGCACTTTTTTCTTTCTCTGAAAGACTATGTACTTATCAGGCCGCCCTTGAACACACGTTCTCAGCACTCAAGCATTCTTCTAAATATAGTATTGGAAAAGTTTCCATGGTCGCCGAATACCTTAATACTGAGGGGTATTATTTTTTATCAAATTTAATGTTGTGTAATATATTCAAAACTTTATATTATTGGCTTATTAATATCTTCTTAGACAAGACTGGTTAATATTGATAAAGGGCAATCCATTTTAGGGTTCCCTACTTTTTTGAAGAAAAATCACAGATGTCAGATGGGCCATTCTTTGAGGCCAATTTTCGATGATTCGTTCGAGCATTTCAGTAATGTCGAAGGAGACGTGTGATTTTTGTTCCAAGGCCTGAACTGAAGCAAGATTGTCCGCATAGATTTTAGACTTTACATATCTCCACAGGAAAAAGTCTAAAGGTGTGATGGCCAATCGACTGGTGGGAAAATGTCGCCAAGATCACGAGCTCCAATTTCAGGCATCAAATAGTTGGCTATCATGCCACGATAACGGTCGCTATTGGTGGTTACTTCTCACCGGTATAAGTTTTGAAGAAATATGTACCGATGATTCCTCCGTTCCACAAACTACACCAAACCGTTGTTTTTCCGAATCAAATGGCAGACATTGAATCTCTTTAGATTGCTTTTCGTCCCGAATTCGGCAATGATTGCTTTTTTATATACCTATTGAGCCAGAAATGTGAATCATTGCTGTAAGAAATTTACGGATACGTCTGATCTTCTTGGAAATTTTGTCCCCTTCAGTTCTTGCACAAGATGTATTTTGTACATTTTCAATTTAAGATCTCTTTTTTTCCAGACGTCAGTCCGAGTTGATGCGAACTGCGTTGAATCGACTTGTCGCGGTCTTCGTGTACACTCTCTGCTACTATTAACCAAAAATGAATGCTGCGTTTCAAGTTGGTATTCTTTACAAAACGTTTTTTTTTAAAATAAAATTGAACGATTTGTAAATGTTGTTCAGGCGTAAGTTTTTCCACGATGCAATGCCAAGCTGTACTGAACAAAAATAACATGAGAGCTTGACACGACTCACGCGTGATCTGTCAAACAAAGGCTATTTAAAAAAGTACCTCTACATGGATCACCCGTTATAATGGTTGAGAGAAGAAAAGGGCGACAATTATTATTTTTAATATGAATTATAGGAAATTTTATCCCCCCAAAAAACAAATATTATACAAAACAGCGAAAAAAAAATATTATTTACAAAATGAGCAAATTCGATATAGCAAAGAAAGGTCAAAGAAACACTTATTGCACCGCAAACGTATTTAATGAATTATGACACAATTTCATCATACAAACCTATGCACATTTATATACATAAATTAAAGTATTTATATCATGCACATATTGTTAATCATTAATTGTAATCATTTGTGTGGTGTGTTTTGTTTTCGTTTTCATTTTTGCGGTTAAACAATTAAACTGGTTCAAGATTTTGCACATCAAACCCGTATTAGTAACAACACGAAAATAGCGAGAAAACGCATTCGCCGAAAAGATGAGTGTAAAGCATAAATTGCAGCCATGTAAGATAGCGCACGTAAAGGGAACTTTAAAAACCCAAAAAATAATACATATTACTAAAAAGTTAATAGCTCCGCACGATGACCTTTACCTAGTTAACATTGAATGCACGCGAAATAGAGAAACGACCCAGACACATGCTCAAAATGCTCGTAAAAGTCTGTAATACGAAACATGGAAATGGTATCTGTCCTCAAATACTTTTTGAAGTACGTAATAACAGAGCAAAATGGTTACACTTACCAAATTTTGACGTTATTTTATAATTATAGTTAACAGTGCGGATACTTATTAGCCACAGTTTTTCTCGCGTTTGTTTCGACTTTAAAGTATTTAAAGGAAGTAAGGAAGGGCTAAATTCACACGAAGAGGGACATCGGTTTTGGCAGGGAGTAAAGCCAGGAAAGTATCTTCAATCGAAAATCTTTATATTACGTAAAAGCAACTATTGACTCACAGATTGATTAATGTTTTCGGTAAAAAGTCAACTATAAGCACTGAGTCCACATATTTAATACCAG